AAAAAAAAAAAAAAAAAAAAAAATATGGAAAAATTGGTTTCACATTAAGTGAAAAAGAGTAGAAAACCACATTTTGTGTATATTTGAAATCATAAGCATATACATCTATGTATATATAATTATATTCATATTATATATGAATATCAAAAGTATATACATCGTATATTCAAGCACTTCTGATACACCAAAAAAGTTTAAATATCTGAAATCTTTTTATAATTTTTAAAACTGCCACACAGGAAAACTGACTTCAGGAGTATGGCCAGTTCTGTGAATGCGAATACATGTAGAGATTTGTATAACCAATACCATGATTGGGATACGTAAACTTTTATTTAAAATGGTAAGCTTTTGTTTAAGAAGGCAGAGCTTCCAAAGATTGTGCTCCCCACAAGGAGACTGTGATGGGGCAGAAACGTCCACAGGTCCAGGAAACAATAGGGACCTCCTCTCTGCCCAGTGTAGGGGTGCCCTCTGTCATGGCCTGCCAGGGGAGTCACTGCCCTGGCCACACTCCACAGAATTCTACCCCTGGGAAGACGAGGCACCTAAGGAGAGCCCTGAAGCTGAGGTGGGGTGAACAGCTCCGAAGGAGCCGGCAATGGCCGCCTGTGGACAAATGGATGTCTGTGCTCATCAGAGACAGAACACTGTCTATGCAACAGGCACCAACCTCCATAGAGGAGATAGCCTGAGCTCCTCCATCCTCACTGTCCAGTCAGAATCTCCTCTACCACTACCACAATCTGCATCTGCTCTCAAGGGAAACAGAGGCCAGCAGTCCCCATCTTGTCTGTGACAAACCTTGGGGACTTGAGGGATAATCGTTAGGAACACTGCAGTCTTTTCACCTTCCCGATCACCAATCTCTGCTTCTCTAAGCCAAGAGTCTCAAGTTCAAATGTCTACAAGGGCCAGGCATGCAACAAATGACTGCAAGAGCTCTGGGTCAAAGACAATAGGGAATGGTGGGGACTGGTAAACTGAAGATGTCATGCCCCACCTAGAGGGGAAAGCTCTTATTCCACTCCAGGCAATTGTTGCAATGCGTGAACAAGAGCCTAGTGCTGCTAGATCTTCTGGGTGGTGGTGGTGGTGGTTGTTTCCAAGAAAAATATGAAAGAATAGATCTTTAGGAAAATTTCCTGGGAATTTTTTTTTCAACACTGAGCAGTCCACCAGTTTGCTATGAGACTTTGACCTGTTCTGAGCCTTTTGGGGGGGATGCTGTGCTGGGCGCTCACTGGCTGACCTCCAGTAGGCAGCCATGTCCTCCTCTGGCCTTGCAGCCTCCAGCTGGACCCAGTCCCTGTCAGGAGGGAGGGCCACTTCAAGTGTAACAGGGCTCCCTTTTGGCTTCTAGGTTCCTGGGCCGCCAGGGCCAGAGGGGCCCCCCGGACCTCCGGTAAGTTTGGAGGGTTTGTCAGTGGTCGGTCCCCTAATGTCCCCTCTCCATAGCAGTCACTAGACTCAACCTCAGCCTTAGTCACTATCACTTCTTCCTCCCAGGGAGGGATTTTCTGGTCTACAAACCCCTCCCCGCTCCTCTTTCCTCCCATGTTAAATAGCAGCATGCTAGGGGTACCAAGGAGCCTGGGCATTGCTTGGTTTCCTGGAAATAGTTGACTGGTAGGGCAGCCCCAGGGTCCCTTGTCTTTAAGCTCTGTCCAACATTTACCTCACCCTTTGCCATTAAACATCTGCTTCTCCCATTCCTCATTTCAAAGTGACCCATTGGCCTGGCACAGTGGCTCACGCACGTGATACCAAGCTGGCACTCTGGGAGGCCAAGGCAGGTGGATTGCTCGAGTCCAAAAGCTTGAGACCAGCCTGGGCAACACAGTGAAACCCTGTGTCTTCTAAAAATACAAAAAATTAGCTGGGAGGGGTGGCACACATCTGTAATCCCAGCTACTCAGGAAGCTAAGGTGGGAGAATCGCCTGGACCCTGGAGGTTGAGGCTGCAGTGAGCCAAGATCACACTACTGCACTCCAAGCACTCCAAATCTGGGCAAGCAGAGTGAGACCCTGAAAAGAAGAAAGAAAAAGAAAAAGAAAAGAAAGAAAGAGAAAGAGAGAGAGTGAGAAAGTGACCCAGCCCCACTGGATTGGAAAGAAAGAGGAAAGAGAGAAAGAGGGAAAGAAAGAGAGAGAGAGAAAGAAGGAAGGAAGGGAAGGAGGGAGGGAGGGAAAGAGAGAGAGAGTGATCCTGCCCCACTGGATTGGCTTTCCTTGGCTACAGAAATGAAACCATGGGACCCCTGTGCATTGCCCCTAGAGGGCCCCCAAGCACCCTGAAGCAATAGATGCTGGTCCATACCTCTGTGCGGTTCATGGTCCCCAAGGCGCTGTGTGTCCTCTATTGCGGACGGTAAAAGTAGCAGCAGGAATGACAGTAGCCAAATTTACTGAAACTTACTGGATGCCAGACACTGTTCCAAGCACTTTGCATGTATTAATTTAACATTTGCTGTGTTACCTCTGCATCTTCCTTTCATGAGACTCTGGGTCAACCATGGGGACCACAGAGAGATTTTCTGTGAGACCCTGGCTGGGGAAGACTGCTCAGACTATTCCCCATGAAGCCCCAAGCATAACCCCCACTTTAGCATTTCCTTCTACCTCTCATGGGCAGGGACCCCAAACCACACCCTGTACTCAAAACCCTTGCTCTTCTGTGGTCCATTTGTGGACAAATCAGTTGTGTTAACCAGAAACGCAGCTCTAATGTACCTTGTTTTATTCCAAATGCAGGGGCTTCAAGGTGTTCCTGGACCAAAGGTAAGGAGAAGTCATGTGACAGTCAGTGCTAGTAGAAAAGAAGGAAAGTGCACCTGAGACCAACTGACCCTTTTTCCTCAAAGGCATCATGTGACACTCCAGCCAAGGGGTCTGGTCAGGGCAGATGAAGTCCTAGGTTCCCTTTAGCTTCTATCATTGACACGTGGTATGCTTTGGCTTCAGAAGTTTCTTATCCATCACCCCACAAAGTGACAGGTTAGATTCCTAGCCAATGGTTAAAATCCTTTTCCCATCAAACCTGCCCCAGCCCCTTCACTCATGCTGAGTATAGGTGGGAGAGAGACAGAAACAGGGTGGGACCCCCCCCAGGTCAAGTTTGGGGGGACTCTGCACTGGGCTCTCCTGGTCTCCCCTCAAGCATTTCAAATGGATGAGGGGGCTGGAGGCTGTCGGTGTGACAGTGGCCCTTTCCTCATGGCCTGGCATTTAAGAGACTTCTGGGCTAGGTTGTGAGCCTCAGGACTCTGGTGGTAGCATCTCAGGCATCTGCCAGCAGGTTTCTGTAAGGTTCCCGTTCTCCTGCCATGCAGATGGGCACCTGTGCCAAACCCTGACCTGTAGGTTTGTCCCCACGCCACCTAGGCATTCCTTTTCCCTGTAGGGCTCTCAAAACTCCCACAGGATACAGGGGCTACTAACTGAGGCAGGAGTAGGCTAAGAATTCAGGGATTCTTGGTATAGCCAGCCCACCACCTCTGGCCCCTCCCTCCTCTACAAATGCCACCCCAGTCTCCAGGATCCCAGAATGCAAGAATGAGTTGTCTGGGACATGACCTTGTGTGATGTCTTCCCCTCTCCCTTTCCTCCAGGGGGAAGCAGGACTAGATGGAGCAAAAGGAGAGAAAGGCATCCAGGGAGAAAAAGGAGACCGTGGTCCCCTGGGACTACCCGTAAGTACCTCGGACCCAGCAAGACTGGAGGGTTTGATGGGCCAGGGGTGTCAGCTGGGACCAGGAGACAGCCACTGGAAAGCTAAGGTTCCAGAGTCTGAGCATCCAGAGCTCCACGTGGTTTGGCTTTCCCACCTGGGCAAGACCCCAGGCTCTGATTCTCTTCCTCCTCTGGGCCAAGCCCCACCTGGGTGCTGGGGAAAGAAGACAGGCTCCCCCACCCCAAGGGGTACCAAGATGGGGGGCTGGAAGTGGCCTGAGAATAGCTTCAGACCCTGCTTGAGCCTGGTTCAGAGGTAATCAAAGCCTGCTGCCTTTATGGGGGCCAAGTTTGGAGGTTTTGGGTACAGTGGGACAAGGAGATGGTCTCCATGACAGTCCATTTGCCCAGAGGGACCCCAAGAGAACTCCTGCTCTCCGCTCTTAAGCACTGGTCATAGCAGAAAGACACAAAGTCAGACTTGGTGGTTCCAGCAGGCCAAGGCCATTCATCTCCTGGGTTCCTGGGGATCTCTGATTTCAGCCTGCCCAGAGCAAGAGGCCCCAAGTCAGATGTGGGGAGCTGCTCAGAAGGTGTTCGCATGTCCTGATATGGGGCCAGGCTGAATAGGGCTGATGGCCTCTTCACTGCCTCACCTGTGTACAGGTCAGCACATCCCACCACCCTCCCTGGAGCCCTGGCTCCATGTCCCCTAACCCTGCACTGAGGTTGGCATTCTTCTGGTTTTGTTTTCAAGAGCTGGAAGGGATGTTAGTGATCCATCTCATCATTTCACTGACGGTCAGAGAAGACAGTGGGTCACTGGAGGTCACATACAAAGTTGGCGGCCAAGCCAGAGGCTGCTCTGAGGCCATGGCTTTGCAAAGCGGCTCCTTCCAGCCACTCAGGCTTCCTTTGTCCTCAAGGAAGGAAGGCTCAAGGCCAGCTCCCACCCCAGGTAGCCATAAAGAGTAGAGAAACAATGCCCAGTTACCCCCGCTTGGCAGAGCTTGAAGGCCTGGTTAATATAATCACAGCAACCAAACAGCAAATGCAAGAGGTATAATTACACCCTCATGAATGCATTCGAGGCAGGAATATTTAAGAAGCCGATTCGCTTGACAGACTACAGAAAACCGATGACTTTAGCGGGCATTTTCCCATGTCTTAAGCTGTGTTCAGAATGATTAAGTGCTCTTTACTATTAAAGAGGCTTCCTGTCCCACTCAACCACAAACCTCTCCTTATCCACACTCAGGGCCCCAACAACCTTGATGAACACTGGAGAATTCAGTCAGGGGTTGAAATGCAAAAGGAACAGAGACCAAACAGGAAATATTAATATAAACAAGGAAAGTGCCAGAAGAAAGATGAAGTACCTAGTCTATCATTAATTTTTCCCACTTTTGATAGAGGCATGGAGAGAAATCTTTTTTTTTTTTTTTTTTTTTTTTTTTTAGTTTAAGTAAACAACAGAACAAGCATATTCACACAAGACGACTAACACAAGCCTGAGGGAGACACTAGGGAGTGGAGGGGACTGGGATGCCCTAGAGAGATCATGTATCCTTCTTAAGGGGAGCCGTCCCTTCTTAGCCCAGCTGACTGTTGCCTTGGAGGAAGGCGGAGCTGGTATTTCTGGGTCTTCCTATTTTTCAAAGGAAGCTGAACATCTGGTGTTTTATGTGAAATCTTTCCATTTTCTAACATTAGATCAAAATTATTTGCAACACTGCAGACCGTACAAAATATGTCAATGGCCCACATACGGCCTGAGAGCCTCATTCGTGCCTTCTGCTCCAGATCGCTCAAGACAACTGAGATTTAATGCTGCATTTTTAAAAGTTACGTGAATATTTAGCTACAGTTCTGTTTCCAGGCTTCACCTGGATATTTTATTCTACATAGTAGCAGCCTGTTTCTCCAGGTACATCCTGGAGTGTTCCCCCATGCCAGCTGTGCACTAGAATCCCCTGGGAGATCTTAAAACTTACTATCACCCGAGCTTCACTCTTGGAGATCTGATTGAATCAGGCTGGGACAGGGTGGGACCCAGACATCTGTTTTACTTAACATTGCCCCCAGGAGATTCTAGTGTGCAGCCAGGGCTGAGAACCACAGCTCTCTAGACCAGTGAGTCAAGGTCGGTCCCAGAATCGTATAGTCCTAAATCTGAGAAGAGTCCCTGCACAGTCCTTCTACCCAACACATTTTCCATGAGGAAGCAGCTCATTGTCTCCCTCTTCCGGGGACTTCCCTCTACGTTTGAAATCCTGAGGCTGAGGCTCAGCTGGAAGCAGTTTGCAGACACTCGGTCCTCATCTGGCCAGAGTATTGCTGCTGCTTTCTCCCTGACTTGTCACATTGGGATCATTAGAAGAGGGGCCATAGGTTTTCCTGGGTGAGTTTCAGAGGCAGCTTAATAACCCAGGAATGGAGCGGGAGCCCCCCTCCTTCTTCCCCTCTGCCCTGCACCACGTGTTTCACTGGACAGCAAGAACAAGCGAGGGTGCTGATAACAGGTGGGTCTCAGTAGCTTCCCACCTGCTACCCATTTGCTCTGGGGAATACATAGCCTTAGACCTCTGTCCCAGTCCGCTGCCTCCAAAGCCTTTTCCTACACAACAGCCCTAGTCTGGGAGCATATGAACGGATCGAGTTTGGGTTGAGCCTCTCAGATCGTAAAGTGCCAGAGAAATGTCAGGTGTCATTTGTAATATCATCTAAGGCCCAACTCATTCCCCCAGGCTGAAGGATAAACAGACCAACTTCTACCCAGATTTCACAACTGGGTGCTGTCACCCAGGCTGAGACCCTCAGGGGCACCCCAGCATGGCCTGATCCAAACAGGAATGCAAAGAAGCTGGGAGAACTGTCCTCACCTGGGGCCCCTCCCCAGTGAAAGATGGGTGCACAGCTCTGATTCCAAGACATCTCTCCAAGTATTCCTTTCTGTATCCCTTTCTGCACAACACTGAAGGGAGAGGGGTTTCTGAGACGGAGTAAAGGGAGAGAGGAGAAACAGGGGCAGGAGAAGCAAGTGGCCATCCGCACCGACCTCCACCCAGCCTGCTCAGCGGCCGGCCACCGCATTCAGTGTCTCCATGTTTTCGTTGGTTTCCATGTAAATACCATCCCCTGTCCTCCCAAGCTTATTTCTCCGGTTGTGTTTGATTACCAGCATTTATGTCTGTCCAGAGTCACTGCTTTACTCACCTCTTCCCTCCCCATTGTTCCCTTTTTCTCCCTCCCAATCCTCTCTTCCCCTTCTTTTGGTCAAATTGTGCCCTTCGTCCAGGGAGCTTCAGGTTTGGACGGCAGGCCTGGGCCACCGGTGAGTGTCACTTCTCCGTCACCCCTCACCCCACCCCACCCCACCCCTGGCCTGTGATCCCTTCTGTCTGTCCCACTTGGCCTCGTTTTCCCAGTGAATCATGGCTTGTCCCACCTCCGACACCAGAAAGGTGCTATCGAGGCTCTGAAGCGCCTTTTCCGCCCTCTTGACCAAATATGACTGGCCTTCATCTGAATGCCCCTGTCCACAGAATACACCCAGGGACCGCAAACCTGCCAGGTGTGGGGTGGGAGACCACTGCAGCAGCACCACTCCTGATTCCAAAGGAATGCCGAGTCCAGCCTGGGTGCCCAGCCCTGGGGCTTTGAGCCATGGCCTCTCCCCAGCAAACACACCAGTGTCTGTGTGTGCCCGTCCTGCTGTGTTGTCGTCATACTGTGAGCTCTGTCCACCTCCTGTCTTCCCACGGGTCTCCCTAGTCTTGTGCAGCCACCAGTTGGGTGTGTGGGGGGTGGGACAGCTTTGAAGGGTGAGGACAGGAGTAGCCTGTAGGAGCACAGAAGCCAGTCCCAGCTCTGTGTCTTACACACATTCTAACCACCCTTGCACTGCCTTGACACCACAGCCACCCTGCAACCCAGCCAGGGTGTTCATTACAGAGCAAGTGAGGCACACTTGGGTCCTCTCCTCCTCTGCTCTTCCTGATTCCATAAAACAGGAATCATTGACTCTTAACTAGAAAGCACATGGCCCTTCTGCTTCCGACTAACAACTGAAGGATCAGAGAAAACATCCCCCTGTCCACCTTCCGGTCCCTCCCCTGACCCTGCTGTGAGGTCAGCCTTCCCAAAGTGTTCAGCTCACTCGTCCTCAAGTCTGGAGTCCCTGAGCTATCACGAAAGCTCTGTGCGCCCAGCCCCTTCCAGCCAGGGAGGCCCTGCTCTGCCCTTCAGAGTGTTTTCAAGGCCACGTCTGCCCAAGGCCTGCATGAAGACGGAGTTCTAGTGAGCTGGCTGGAGCCACCCTCAGGGGAGGCGACGCCTTGCCAGGGTTCATGTGTGGAGCGTAGGGGACACGCTGAAGCAAGGCTCACAGGTCTTCCCAGGGGGCCCGGGGCACTGAAACTGGCACCAACAGAAGCCCAGAGCTTTTAGAGGTAGGAGGGTCAAGAGTGACCCCCGTGAGAGCCCTGTCCTACTGAATGCCTATTCTGTGCCCTCATAAATAGGAGGTGGCATGGCTTGCCCAAGATGACAGACTTCTTCAGAGCCCCCCAGCTCCCTGCGCTGTTGGAGTCCACACCCTAAACCCTTCTGTGCAGAGAGCATGCCCCAGCTGCCAGGCATTATCATGGCTCTGCTCCTTCGCCACAGTCCCTCCCTCTCCACCCTCCCCCACCTAACACACCTGTCTCAGGTGCCCGGGTAGGGCTCAGGGATTATCTGTGGCTGCAATTGCAGAAACCAAGACTTCGCTCTCAATAGCTTCTCCCATTTATGTCAGACGGAGAAAAGCAGTACAAATTCATATACTCTTTCTCTCTGGAACGGAGACTTTCTTTTCCTCATAAAATCAGTATCCTAACTTCAAGGGAAAATGTGGGGGGAAAATATTAGCCTGCCCTGCCAATATTAACATTTACTGGGCACTTTCTACAGGTCAGGCTCAGCACCAAATGCTCGCCATGCATTCATGCATGGAAACCTGGCACAGCCAAGGAGGCAGACATGCGTGGTACAGACAGGGAAACTGACACTCGGCAAGGCTAAGGAGCTTCTCCAATACCCAGGAGTTCGTAGGCCTCTGAGGCAAGGCCAGCCAGGTGACTCCGCAGCCCTGCGCCAAACCATTGGCCCGAGCTGACACCTTTTTCTTTTTGAGACAGAGTCTCGCTGTGTCACCCAGGCTGGAGTGCAGTGGTGCGATCTCTCCTCACTGCAACCTCTACCTCTGGGGTTCAAGTGATTCTCCTGCCTCAGCCTCCCAAGTAGCTGGGATTACAGGTGCCCGCCACCATGCCCAGCTAACTTTTGTATTTTTAGTAGAGACAGAGCTTCGCCATGTTGGCCAGACTGGTCTTGAACTCCTGACCTCGACCTCCCAAAGTGCTGGGATTACAGACATGAGCCACCACATGCGGCCTCCTTTTTTATTCTACAGAAGGCTGTGCTCTTACAGATGTGCACAGCCTTCCTTCCTCCCTCATGGTTGCTAAGGGAGCCCTGGGGACTCTTTACTCCCCTCTTTGTCTCATGTGAAGTCACGCCCCGCCTTTCACAGCTATATTCAGAGCACCGGAAACTGCCCACAGCTCAGCCCCACTCCTCCTGTCCTCATCTGAGGCTGAGAATAGGAGACACTGAACTAGAGACTTAGTCTGACCAGGCTGTGAACTGGGAACCTGGGAAGATGTTGGATAAGGCCAGAGCAAGCCCTGATGCTTCATGTCTAAGCCATGCGCTCTGATGGCCCCAGCGCCCCCAGCCCTGGGCTAGCAGAGCTCATGACACACCTCCCTGCCAGGCCAGTGTCAGTGCAGACATTGAGGCATCCTAATTCCCCCTTGATCCAGTAGGTTTCACAGGCCTGCCAGTGGGGTGAGGAGACCCTGGCCAGAGGCTGAGGCCAGGGCTGTGGGTCTGCGGTGGGCGGGTGGGGTGGGCGTTGGCTGAACGACCCTCTCTCGCCTGCCCCTGTGTGTGCGTTCGCATCCATCTCTGTGGCATGAAGACCCTCCCGCTGCATGTGGAGCTGCAACAGCAAAGAGGGTGCCAGCCCCTGGCCCCTGCCCTGGGATGGGTCCACTCCCTCCCAAGTGCTTCTGAGAGCAAAACTAAGCAATCATTCTCCCACCGTTTTCAGCCTTGGCAAGCTTGGTTGTGAAGCAAAAGGGTTTTAGTCCATGAATCTGGCTCTGATGCATGGGGAGGTGCTGTCTCCCCCACAGGCCCTGAACCCAAAGAGGATCACAGCCCAGTTGAATGACTGCCCTGAATGAGCCTGGCCTCGCCAACCCTGAAAACTGGGCCTGAGACCTTGCTCATCTCCAGGTGTCAGGGGGGGCACCCAGGGCTCCCCAGCGTGTGGGGACCTCACCTCTGCTTTCCTTCCCCTCCCCAGGGTACTCCAGGACCAATTGGAGTTCCAGGCCCAGCGGGACCAAAGGGCGAGAGGGTGAGTGTCAGTGGGCCAGGGGCCGGGGCAGCCTGGAGGCAGGGGCAGGCCTGGGACCCCCAACACCAGGGGTCTCAGCCCTATGCTTTCCTTCTTCTGTCTCTTCTCCTGGTCATCCTCACAGCAGCCTGGGATGGGGGGCTCGTTGTGTAGCTATGAGTGGACAGAGACTTGGAGGGATCAAGGAAGCAGAGAGGTGGGGCACATTGGCTCACACCTGGAATTCCAGCACTCCGGGAGGCCAGAGTGAGAGGATCACTGGCACTCAGGAGTCTGAGACCAGCCTGGACAGCATAGTGAGACCCCGACTCTACAAAAAAGCATTTTTTAATTAGCCAGGCATGCTGGTGTGCACCTCTAGTCCTAGATATTTGGGAGGCTGAGGCAGGAGGATCAGTTGAGCCCGGGAAGTTGAGGCTGCAGTGATGGTACTACTGCACTTCAGCCTGGGAGACAGAGCAAGACTTTTTTTTTTTTTTTTTT